GCTTTTTCTTATCTGTGAAGCTCTTTATCTGACCTTCAATTCTGAATGATAGCTTTGCTGGATAAAGTAATCTTGGTTGTAGGTTCTTGGCATTCATCACTTTGAATATTTCTTGCCACTCCCTTCTGGCCAGCAAAGTTTCTGTTGAGAAATCAGCTGACAGTCGTATGGGTACTCCCTTGTAGGTAACTGACTTTCTTTCTCTTGCTGCTTTTAAGATTCTCTCTTTGTCTTTTGCTCTTGGCATTATATTTATGATGTGTCTTGGTGTGGTCCTCTTTGGATTCCTTTTGTTTGGGGTTCTCTGCGCTTCCTGGACTTGTAAGTCTATTTCTTTCACCAGGTAGGGGAAGTTTTCTGTCATTATTTCTTCAAATAAGTTTTCAATATCTTGCTCTCTCTCTTCTTCTGGCACCCCTATAATTCAGATGTTGGTACGCTTGAATCTGTCCCAGAGGCTCCTTACACTATCTTCGTATTTTTGGATTCTTTTTTCATTTTGCTTTTCTGGTTGGGTGTTTTTTACTTCTTTGTATTTCAAATCTTTGACTTGATTTTTGCAATCCTCTAGTCTGCTGTTGGGAGTCTGTATAATATTCTTTATTGCAGTCAGTGTATGCTTAATTTCTAGTTGGTCCTTTATCACAACATTGAGGGTCTCATTAGATTTCTTATAGTTCTCATTAAGTTTATCGGCAGTTTCTAGAAAATTATTGAAAAACCTTAAAAATGTGGTTTTGAACTCTATATCCATTAGTTTGCTTTCCTCCATTTCTGTCATTTATGTCCTTTTTCTTTGTCTCCACATTTTTTATGCTTCCCGGTGTTGATAAAGTGGTTTTCTGTGCTGAGTGTCCTCTAGGGCCCAATGGTTCAGCCTCCCCAATTACCTGAGGTGGACACTCTTGGTGCACCCCCTTGTGGTCTTTGTGCACAGTCTTGTTGTAATTAAGCCTTGGTTGTTGTAGTTATCACTGGGAGGAATTGACCTCCAGGCCAATTGGCTGTGAGAATCAGCTGTGTCTGAAGTGGGAGAACTTCTGTCCTGGAGACACTCCTCTGGGCCAAAACTTGCTTCAATGGGGCTTTGGTGCTCACTGAGTCAGCCCCCTGAGTGTGTCCTTTATGGTTCCACGGAGCTGCAAACTGGATGGTCCCACTCTGACCTCTGGGTTTCCTGGCTCCTGGATCTCTAGGGAGGTGCTAATCTAGCCTTTGCCTGAGGCTATCCAGCAAAAGCCTCCCTGCAGGGCTTGGGCAGGGCGGGTCCCATGGGATCAACAGGGCGGGGCTAGCAGTTATGGCTGCTCTCAGGCCTGCCCTCAGAGGCTCTGCTTCTCAGTGTCCCGGTATTCGCTGCAAGCCCCTCAGAGAGAAAGCTGCCCTCGAGTTCCGACTGATGCCAGACAGTCCCGCTTCTCCCGTATGAGTCTGGGTTCCTAGAGACTCGCCTGGAACTAGAGCTCAGAGCCTGAGACTCCCTCCCGATTGAAAATCACAACCGCGCCCTCAGCCGCCAGCCCACTCCACATGCACCTCCGCACCTTAGTATTTTACTTCCGTACTGCACCTCCTCTGAGTCTCAGAATGCTTTTCTCTTTCCATCTAGTTGTAGAATTTCCACTCAGCCAGCCTTCCTGTGGTTCTGGATGATGTCCGTTCTGGCTTTTAGTTGTTTTTTTGAAGTGGTTGTTCAAGGCAGCAAACTCCGGTGTTTACCTATGCCGCCATCCTCTAAGAGCACTCTTACATGTACTGATAGTTATTTAAAGAAGTACCTATATATATAAAAGGCTAATATGCTAAGTGTCCCTCCCTCCGTCCTGCTGGTTGCTATGATGCACACTGACCACCAGGGGGCAGACACAACCAGAGAGGAGGGAGCCCAATTCCTCACAGGGCCGCATGATTCCACCTTCACCTGTGGGTTATGTTGTTGCTGGGGCACTGTTGGCCCCAAATCTGGTTTACTGCACACTTGTGTTTGCATTCCACACCCTGTATGACAGCAACTTTGCAAAGTGCCCTCTCACACTCTGGGACCCCTCAGGGATATCAGAGAGCCAGTTTCAGCCAATCCCTGCAGGCCAGGCCAAGGGACCCCACCTGCCAGAGGGACCCAGCTTACTCCGAAAATGCCTTTTGAGCCACGGTGCCACCCCAGGTGCAGCCTGCTGGGGAGGGACCACGAGAGGTTGGCTCCAAGGTATGTCCGGCCCATCTTGCTCTGTCCCATCCCGCCGGCCACCTTCTAATTAATTTCCTTTCAATGTGCATGAATCCGTGCACTGGGTCACTAGTATTTTTATAACTAGCTAAGAAAGAACCTTGCATGTCTTATGAAATGTGCCAGTGGTTTTTGTTTTTTTATTAATCCTCACCCAAGGATATTTTTTCATTGATTTTTAGAGAGAATGGAAGCGGGGGGAGAGACAGAGAGAGAGAAACAGGGATGTGAGAGAGACACATTAATTGGTTGCCTCCCACAGGTGCCCCAACCAGGGCTGGGGATCTAGCGTGCAACCAAGGTATGTGCCCTTGAGAATCAAGCCTGGGACCTTTCAATCTGTAGGCTGATGTTCTATCCACTGAGCCAAACCGGCTAGGACTGTGCCATTTTTCTAAGCATTAAATATCACTGGTTTAGTTGTATCCCATGTAATACAAACACAAATATTTTCTCTTTGTACCTATTTTAAGTGCATTAAAATTTCAATTTATTTGCCCTGGCCGGTTTGGCTCAGTGGATAGAGCGTCGGCCTGCAGACTGAAAGGTACCGGGTTCGATTCTGGCCAAGGGCACATGCCCAGGTTGCAGGCTTGATCCCCAGTAGGGGGCGTGCGGAAAGCAGCCAATCAATGATTCTCTCTCATCATTGATGTTTCTGTCTCTTCCTCCCTCTCTCTTAAATCAATAAAGAAATATATTTTTAAAAAATTTCAATTTCTTTAATTATGGAGATTTTTCTTTTAATTTCAGAGACAGTGATGAGTCACATTTTGTTTATACATCAGAAGCTTAATGGTTGACATTAATTTCCATAAACTGAGCTGTTATTAATGTCATTGTCTCTTCCTTCCTTTTTTGATCACTATTTTGTCCACAGCAAAGATAACATTTTTATTTAAGTCTGGAAAGAAACCTCATCATAACTATGTATTCCTTTTCCAAAAATAAATAGAAATTTCAGTATGTAGTTCTGTTTGAATTAATTAGAGGGGTCATTATTCATTTTAGCATTCCTTTAAAGATATGTTCCTGTAGCATTTTTTTTTCTTTTAATAATAGCTCATTAGCTTCTTGGAAGTTATGTGAGAAAAAATGGCAGGAGCCATTGCCATTTGAAAAGCAATCAGAACTCAAAATAGAGCCTGACAGTGTAAGCCAAGTTGGAAAAATATATTTTTTTTGTAGGAAAAAAAAATCATTCATTCTGTATCCAGAGATATAATCACTGCTGTTTAATATAGAGATTTCCTTTTAGTATTTTATTTAGATGTGTGTGACTGTTTACAAAAATAGTATTATATGCATATTACTTATGGCCTGATCTTTTTAATTTAACCTCATATAATGAATATTTCCCCATCAATATTCATTCTTTGCAATATTACTGTAAATGTTGTGATGCAGTTATACCATAATTAACCAAAACAGTCCACTGTATTTGAACGTAAAGATGTTTAATCCATCTGGTTTTTTTAATTCTAAATGATATCTTTATAAACACATCTTTGGGTGCAGCCTCTTGTATATAGTTATATCAGTAGGACAAATTCCTAGAAGTGCAAATTGGTGGGTCAAAAGTGTGGGATATACAAATCTTCTGATGTATTGCCAGTATGTTCTCCAGAAGAGTTAAACCAGTATACACTTGTAGTACCTGCTGCTCTAGGCTTCTCTAACAATGGTGTTTTTATTTTACTGTGTTAATTTGGTAATCCAAAAGATGCACATTTAGAAAATTTTAATTTCTTTGATTAAAAGTTGTACTCTTAAAACATGCTTATTGGCTGATTGCAAGCTTTTAAAATTACCTATTGATGTCCTTTGTATCTTTTAATTTTTTTATTTTTTTATTTTTTTTTCCTTTGTATCTTTTTAAAATTGGTGTGTTTCTTGTCAATATGGACAAATGTGAGTGAATTCAAATAGACTGAGGCTTAGTACAAAATGACAAATGTGAGTGAATTCAAATAGACTGAGGCTTAGTACAAAATGACAAATGTGAGTGAATTCAAATAGACTGAGGCTTAGTACAAAATGGCTTTAATAAGACTACTAATAAAAGTTGCCATAAATGGACACATATTTAGCCCGAAACTGTGCTAAACACATTATCCTTATATTATTTTATCTTATTTAGTGTTCATTGTAATTCTGTAATAGGCATCTTTATTTTGCAGTTGAGGAACTTGAGCTTCAGAAAGGTTGAGTGCCTTGCCCAAGATCACAGCTAGTGGTAGCACTAGTATATGATTCCATTTCTGTCTGACTTCAAACCCTGTGTGGTTTTCCTTAAGTCACACTTTTCCTGGTACTTAGCTGTTGTTTATACCGATTTATGCTGGATAATTTTCTAATCATCCTTTTTTACCAGTATTGCTCCAGTGTCCTTTAAATATATATATTTGAAATGGAGAGAAATAACTTAATTGCTAATAGAATCAACTACCAAAGAAGTAGTATAGTTACCATTTTGCAATGTTTCTCAAGAATAAAGCATCTCCATACCTTAATAGAAAAAAAATGCCATCTTAATTTTAGACATAATAATATTAGATTTGATGCACACCAGGATCTTTTATCATTTGTTATTTTAATTAACTCTTTGGAAAGGAGCATATTCTATGATTTTGTGCTTTTATTTATTTATTTATTTTTGCTTTTCTCCCTATTAAGAACCAGGCCACTTGCCTCAAATTCTTTCTTTTAAACATGATATATAATGTAAGAAATGGGTAAAACAATAATTAGTGTACTAAATTCTTCTTAACAGAACTTTACAGAGCAGTATGGCAAAGCTTCTCTCAGATCTCAGTATGGACACTGCTCGCTCCAAGCCTGGGAATAATCTTACCAAGTCACTTCTGAACATTTATGAAAAACAGCCTCAACATGACCCAATCCCTGCTCAAACTTCCATAATGAGCTACTTAAATAAGTTACAAACACATCGCGCGTTTACACATTCAGAGCCACTTTCTGCAGTTAACAATGAGGAAAACATAGTGCCAGATAGGCCCTATGAAAATGTTCTGCCTTCCAAAAGCCCTCAACACAGTAACACCAGGAAAATGGAGGAAGTATCAGCCCCTGGAATTATTTCTACCCTTTCAAAACAGGATTCTGATGAGGAGAGCGAAATTCCAACTCTAACAGAAGGTGAGTGTAATCTGGATAATACCATTTATATTCCCTTTGCTAGAAGTCCTTCTAAAAGGAAATCACCACTGTCTATGAGAGTATCCCCCCAGCCTCAGATCAGTGTAGCTCCACGACAGCTGCTCAGCAAAGGTGGACCTGTCTCAGAAAAAGAAAATAAATCATGTGCACCTGGAGTTTGTTCTGCCAAAAAGGAAGCAGAAGATGCACCTGAGAAACTTTCCGGAACAGCTGAGATGGAGGACAAGCAGCTCCTCAAGAAAATAAAGGAAGCCATCGGCAAGATCCCTGCTGCCATTGAGGAGCCACAGGATCAGGCTGCGTGCCATGTTCAAGTGAAAAGCAGTGCGGTCTCCGACGGTAGCTTTTTAAATTCTGACTTGACGTCTGACTGGAGCTTCTCTTCTTTCTCAACATTCACTTCTCGTGATGAACAAGACTTCCGAAATGGCCTTGCAGCCCTGGATGCCAACATTGCTCGACTCCAGGAGTCCTTAAGGTTTGGTCTTCTAGAGAAATGAACTCGGAAGAAAACAGATTGAGTATCAATGTAACTTGGTTACATTGAATGTATATTTTAAATTTCTTTATAGAGAAATGATGTTTTATATTAATTATGTGGGGAAAATAAATTGAATAATAAGTTTATTATTGGAATATATTGATACTGTAGAGCTTATAAAAAGTTATCTTAAATTGGCAATTGCTAAGAAAAGAAAGGGAGTTGTAGATAACTAGAGAAATAGTATAAATAATATTTTATTTTAGCACTTAGCAATTAGAGTTCTTTTATTAACCTGCTGGGCTTGGGTTGGAAGGATTCTCTAAAAGATAATTGGAAGGGAATCTCTGGGTACAATTTACTGTATTCACACTAGAGTTTCTCTTTCAGGAGTCCTTTTTTTTTATGGCATTGTGTTTTTTGTATGTGATGCTCTTTGCTACAGGCTGGTGTTTTTGGTGAGCTATATAAACATTTAAGACAAAGTATTCCACTTCTTAAAAAACATTAGGTGCTCCAATAAAATATTGGTTACATCCTAAGTGAGCATATCATTTCTTAAAACTTTGGCACTTTTCTTTTTATCCTGATTGCATGTTTAAGATCTGTAAAAAAATAATGTCAGACTGATCAGTGCTAACAGATAAGTTTCAGTTTTGGCAAACTATGTTTTTTAATAAATAAGTATTTGTTTTTGTCCTTATTATATTTGAACATGATGGAGTTTGTAAATCTTGCACTGGTTATAACTCTGCCTTTCTGGACCAATTATCTTCAGTACTTGAGCTGATAGGAACTAGGTTGGACTCTGCTTCTCTATACTAACACCCCTAACTACTCAGTATTTCTTCCCTCCATGTAAGCAGCACATTTTTTCACTTAGGAAGATGGATATTGTGCTATCACTAATACTCCATATAGGTCACCTGCCTGGTCTCATGTGCTTAGTGCTTGAATAGGCTTTAGCATTACAGAAACTGTCCCAGAAACTCTTCCTGCTGGTCTTTAAGTGTTGGTGCTACAACTTCTAAAGTACCCAGATATAGTCTGGTTTTATAGAAAGAAATATATTCAGATTTTATAGATAGAAATTTCTTAAGTCTAAAAATATTAGATGAATTCTAGGCTATTTTCACAGAATTATCTGTTAATTCTTTTAATTTTTATTACTTCCAGTATTCATAAATAAATATGTTAGTATATTTGGAGGTAATAGGTCTCATAAGTTCTTTGAGTTCAGAAGTACAGGTCAGAATACAAAATAGTAAAGCAAAGAAGAAAATTGTGTCATCTGTCTACTCCAAAATATTCAGCTGTTATTCATATGCAGAAGTAATGGCTTAAGATTATTATATAATAATACAAAAATATCATTCTGTTTAGCCCTTATATAGGATGAACATCCTTATATGTGAGAAAATTTTTAAATGCTTATGAGTTCATTTAATTAGGGGGTTAATAATTTGATTAAAGAACAGATGAGACTGGAAAATCCTCGAGGGACTGTTTGATATAAGAAGAGGGACTATTTATTTGATATACGCAGCATAGAAACATGAAGAGTTCAGTTAAATTTCAAGGTGGAATATGATCCTAACAAAATGGAAGAGATAGTGGGTTTCATAGAAGTTTAAAGAAGGAAGCTACAAAATGGTAGGGGGGAAACCTAGAAGGGAAGAAATTTCATTTGGATCGTAAAGAATGTATAGGATTTTAATAATTCTGTGAGTATCTTCAAAATGTCAACCACTGTAGAAAGTCAGTATCACAAAACATAGGGGTTGGTTGAATAGTATATTTAGAGGATGGTGGGTACATCAACCTGACTAAAATGGAAGAGTCAAGGTTATATAATGGTAACATTTAGAAGAGTTGGAGTCACACTGTAGAATGTCTTAAGCTCCAGGCTGAGGAATACCATTAAACATGAAGTCATTGGGGTTTGGGTATCTTTGGTGGTGATACTTTTTTTAAATGGAGGATCACCAAATGAAATTGGGTGTTCCTAAAGTTGCATAGAGTGATGGTAAATAAGAAGGATTAGTGGCAATAAAAGTGAAAAGGAGAGAGAAATTGAATTTTTTTTTCAGTAGGCTTGATAATTTACCAGAAAGTGAAAGGGAAGGGGACATCAAAGATGACTCTGATGTTTTCAGTTTGATCACTTGAGTCACCCTGAGCAACGTCTAAAGTGAAAAATCAAGTTCTTGATTAAGTCCTAAGTTAAAAAATTCCAAGTTTAGTCTTGATAATAGTACTATACCAGTAAATGGAGAGTGGGATAAAAAGGAGAGAAAGATTGCCTATTCTCAGTAGTCCCCTTTAGATATTCACATCAGGAGTCAGTATAACTATCTCATCATAGGAGGGTCATTCTGATCCCAAATCTCAGAGAAGCTTTAGAGGAGTATCCCCTAACCTCTGCCAGGGTGAATTCAGTATCTCCTGATAGATACTGAGTGTAGAATGGAAAGGAACACCCTCCAACATCTTGTCACTATGCTGCTGTCTTTGGACCTGTGGAAACTTCACAATGGATACAGTATTTGTGAATACCACTGAAGATGAAAGAATCTGATTCTGCTTGACCAAATGTAGAGGTCCTAGGGGCAGGGCTAAAGAAACCAAAGAAATTACTTAGTAACATTCGTCCCTTATTCCTACCACTCTTGGAGTTAGCAACTTTTCCAGCAATTTTTACTTTTCATGAATGGTGGTATATATGTCAGGTGCTTTAAAAAATTATAAAGGCCTGCTTAAACTACATGGAAAGTAGAGCAGAATTGCAAGGCTATTAGGTAAAAAGGGCATGCAGCCAAATCACATCTTACAAAGTATGTATCTAGTGTCAGTGAATGAAATGAAAGCTCTGATATGTACCAGCTCCTAGTCTGGACTCAGAATACAACAAAGAACAAGACAGATATTCTTTGCCCTCAAGGAGCGACATTACAGTGGGACACAAGAAAAGGAACATATAAGTACTGTGAAGAAAAACAGTGTAAAGGAACAAAAACAACAGAATTGACAAGTTTTGATTATCAGGGTAAGAGGCTCTTCCTCAAAAATTATCTTTAGGGGCTTAGAATTTAAGCATACTACTAGATAAATTGGATATGATTTACCAGTTAACAATCATTTTTCAAATCTGTTAACCCTAACTTTCCTTCTGCTCAAAATTGCTTAAATAGATGAGCTCTATAACTATATTATACCTCAGTGTTTTAGTATAACACTTTTAGAGAACAGGGCACTATTTTATTTAAAGCATTTCATTTTAAGTAGGACCTCCCAGAGATTTATTAGAAACTAGGGGCCCAGTGCACAAATTCATGCACCTTGAAAGGAACTGTGGGCCAAGAGGCTGTGGTGAGCACAGAGACCCATCCTCCATTCCCCACCCCGGCCCCTCCTGCTTCAGCCCCCCAGACCCCCGTCTGCTGGCAGCCCCACTCCCACCACCACCACTCCCACGTGCTGACAACATCGGTCCCGCTCGCACCTACTGATGGCATGGAGCAATTGGGGCCGGTACCAGCAGTGGGTGTGAGTGGTGGCTGCTGCCCCAATCACCCCTCAGGGGCAGGGGGAGGTGGAGAAGCCCTGAGGGGCACTTGGGGCCAGCAACTGCTGCTCGCACTTACTGATGGCACCAAGCAATCGGGGCCAGCGCCAGGCGCTGGCAGTGGGTACAAGCAGTGGCTCCAGCACCGGCAGTAGGTGCAAGTGGGGCTGGTGCTGGCAGCAGGTGCAAGCGCTGGGCGGGGATCGTGTCGTGCGGGAGCAAAGAATTTGCAGTAACCACCAGAGGCTTGCCCCGATGACAGGGACCGGCACCCCACCTTGGTCTGATGCCCCCGCTCACCTGCTCCACCATCACACTGTGGCCGACGCCTGCCATATTCCACACACGCCCCTGGTGGTCAGCACACGTCATAGCAACTGGTTGTTCGGTTTTCTGCCGTTCGGTCTGTTTGCATATTAGGGTTTTATATATAGAGATGGTAAGATCTGTGGTTCTGAAGGGCTGAGCTTTTAAGTTGAATTTTTGAAAGGACTTTAGAAGACATGTATCTCACTTATACCCTTCCTACCCATATGCTTCTTAAGGGCAGGGACCAGGATTTAGTCATCTTTGACACCCCTGAGACATTTAGTGTCTCTCGTAGTAGGCAGTTAATAACTATTGTTGGGCTTAATTAAATCCCTGACACGGTCATCTAGGCTTCACTTGATTTTCTCGGTGCTGGTAAATTCATGCAGCATCTTCTTAAGAGCTTGTTTGGAAGTTCTAGCCGAGGAGTGCGGCTACACATACACCCTTGACTGTAGACCGGTCCTCTCCTCTGGGGGAAGTTCGTCCTCTTTGACCAAGTGCGCAGCTTCAGGAGGGACACACATGGACACATGGATCAGTGAGGGAGGAGGGGAACACCTGCCTAGCCAGCCAGACCAGCCAAATCAACCCTGATGATCAATGGGGTGACAGATGTTGCAGCCAGATTGCCCTCACATCCCAACAGCTTCTTTATAGCTTTATTACACACACATCTAAACTCATTGCATTAGCCTTCCTGTAACTTTCATTCTTTATTCCTATTATTTACTTCTGAAAAAAAATTCACTTTTGCTTAGCAAACACTTGTACACTATTGCTTGTTCTAAGAAGTGACAGATTGTTAAATATTTAGGAGGGGAGATAGGGCAAAACCATTTTTTAACTGTCACCAGTGCAAGGATAATCTATCCCACCAGCCTACCTCACTGATTTGTAGGAGGGATAAATGTAGGCAAAGCACTTTGAGAACTGGGGGTCACTGAACAGTCTGACTTGTGACAACATTTAAAGAGCCCTCAGCATCCTACTTGCCCTTGTTTGATGTCCTCCAGTTGTCAATATCTTAAAATTTAAATCCAGCAATGAACTCCAGATGAATATGATCAAGCACCATACAGTTAGATTCTCATTTCCTATAATTTTAAGTTATTTTAAAATGGACAAATATTGAATTGGCTATCTTCGGCCATCACATATTACTGCAAACCGTATTCAGACTCCTAGTTAGTTTCTAGATAGTAATATTCACATTGTCATTCTCAGTGTTGAGTGGCATCACATTAGGGCAGCTTGGAGGAGGGAGGGG